CCTGTAGGCTAGATCTTTCCCGCCGACACCAGCATCTATGTAAACCGTTGAGTTCTCATCAATCTCCTCCTTCACAAGCATCTTAGATAGCTCGGTCACCACCTTCCTCTCCAACCATCTCCTAATAGGTCTTGCACCATAAACCTGAATGCCATGGTCACCACAATAAGTACAAGTTCGCAAAATAATCCTAAAATATTGGACTAGATTAAAAGATATAATACTTACCGGGTCATAACTCTCTGAGAGTATGACATCTAGAGCTGCCTCAGTAACACCCAATGCAATACCCCTCTCAGCCAGCCGTAGTGCAACGTCTTTCATCTGGTAGCGGCATACTTGCCTCAACTGCTCGTGGGACAGGGGATCAAACACAACAATCTCATCCAGCCGATTCAGGAGCTCGGGCTTAAACTGCTTTCGCACCTATAACAAAGCATACACACATGTAAACAGTTGTCATTCTAGCTAATAAGGTAAACTATTTCACTGTATTGCTCCAGTTTTATCAGCAAAGGGTACAATTAAAGAGTTACTAGTTTGAGACTATTAACCTCCTGCATGACCATTTCACGAGCCATCTCCATGGTACATTTGCCCATTAATCCAGACAACAGATACTCTGCTCCCAAGTTTGAAGTCATAATAATCACGGTGTTGGTGAAATCAACTGTGCGGCCTTGACCATCTGTTAACCTTCCATCATCCAAAACTTGAAGCAATGTATTAAACACTGTAGGATGGGCTTTCTCAACTTCATCAAAGAGCACAACACTGTAAGGCCGCCTCCTGACAGCTTCAGTAAGTTGTCCTCCCTCATCGTGCCCAACATAACTGCAGATGTGGAACACATGAGAATCTGTGATTGATACTGTAATAATATGACATTAAAAGAAAATAATTAGATTCAAACTTACCCTGGTGGAGCACCAATCAGCCGCGCAACAGAGTGTTGTTCCATGTACTCGGACATGTCTATTCTGATCATCAGTTTATCATCATCAAAGAGCTGCTCTGCAAGAGCTTTAGCGAGCTCCGTCTTTCCAACACCAGTTGGCCCCAAGAAAAGGAATGAACCAGTTGGTTGCTGTGGCCTTCCTAAACCAGCTCTAGACCTTAACACGGCTTCAGCAACAGCTCTAACTGCATGATCTTGCCCGACCACTCTTTGGTGCAACCTATCGCCAAGACCAATCAGTTTCTCTTTCTCATTCTGCCCAAGCCTTGAGACCGGAATACCAGTCCAGCGACTCACAACTTCTGCAATCTGATCAGGACCCACAGTCTCTGTTAGCATTGTACTCTCAGTTGAGGTACTCTCAAGATTTGCTATTGCAGTTTCCACTTCTTGAATGGCCCCATATCTCAGATCTGCTGCCCTCGCCAGATCATATCTCCTTTCAGCTTCTTGTAAAGCATAAATGAGCTCATCGCGCTTTTGCTTGAGCCTGCGAAGCTCATCTATCCTTTCCTTCTCTTTTTTGTACCTCATCATCAAGGGCTGGAGTTTGTCTCTCAAATCATCAAGTTCTTTCCTCACCTGGACCAGTGTCAATATAATTCCAGTCAGTACTATTCTTAACATATCTTTTAGAAAATAGAGCAATTACCAGTAAAAGCATTGGTAGCATATTATACTTACTTCTACGAGACGTGCTTTGCTAGCTTTGTCTTTTTCCTTCTCCAGAGCGTGAAGTTCAACTTCTAGCTGAATTCTCTTCCTTTCGAGATTGTCAATTTCCTCAGGTTGACTATCAAGCTGAACTCTAACATTTGCACAAGCTTCATCAACTAGGTCAATAGCCTTATCTGGCAAATGTCGACCTGAAAATACAAAGAGGTTAGTGATTTTTGCACCTGGAATGTGCAGCAAAGACAGTTTACATGCCAAACTGCCAAAATTTAACTGGCTGACTGCTTAATTTGTCACAACACAGACATAAAAAGCATTTTGCAAAAACTGAAAGGTGGAAACGAGCTACAGTTTTGATTTGAGAAATTTTTAATTATCCTCAAGAAGTTTTAGTACACTTCTGACAATCATATAAGTCCGAATCCACCATTATCCAGATGGGGAGCAGCTTGTAACGCAAAAACAACTCATACAGCTGTAAAGGTCCAGAAGGAAGTGCAGACAATGATATGCTAATCAAGTCTCATACCCTACCTGCTTAAATGAATCAAAATTCTGGCAACTGCTTCAAGAAGTCATTTTAGTACCAGACAATTATACATCTATAGCTCCGACACCATAACATTTTAGGTTAAGATTCACCCTTCATTCGCTTGACCGAATCTAAGACCCATTCTGATCTATAGAGTTAATGAAATGCACGAGGAATAAGTAGTGCATATATATGCTTAGTGATTGACGGAGAAAAGACATCAAAACAAGGTGCTATTTTTATCAAAACAAGGTGCTATGTAAAAATAGCAAAAGTATAGATACCTGTAATATACCGAGATGAGAGCTGGGCAGCCACTACAAGAGCTCTGTCCTGAATTTTGACACCATGATGCCCTTCATACCTCTCCTTCAACCCGCGGAGAATACTAATAGTGTCAGTAACACTAGGCTCAGCCACATACACCTGCTGGAAACGCCTCTCGAATGCAGCATCCTTCTCAACATACTTCCTGTACTCCTCAAGCGTAGTTGCACCAATGCACCGTAATTGACCTCTGGCTAGCATTGGCTTAAACAGATTAGCAGCATCCATAGACCCTTCTGTCCGACCAGCACCGAGGACTAAATGTATCTCGTCAATGAAAAGTATAACTTTCCCTTCTGCTTCTTCAACTTCTTTCAGCACAGCCTTCAGCCTCTCTTCAAACTCACCTCTGTACTTAGCTCCAGCAACTAGCGCTCCCATATCCAATGCTATAAGCCTAACATCAGCTAAATTACTTGGAACATCACCACGTACAATCCTCTGTGCTAGCCCTTCAACAACTGCTGTTTTACCCACACCAGGCTCTCCAATAAGAACCGGGTTGTTCTTCGTCCTCCTTGATAAAATCCGAACGACTCTTCTAATTTCTTCATCCCTACCAATCACGGGATCAAGCTTTCCTGCTTGTTCCACAAGATCACGGCCATAAGTCTTGAGTGCTTGGAATGTGGTATCCCCTGAAGCACTTTCCACTTTTCTTCCTTCCTTTCCTCTAAGTTTCTCTACCTCTGATTTCACTCTTGATGCACTCACTCCAGCTTCTTTCAAAAGATCTCCAATTTGGGAGTCTTCTAGCAGTCCTAAAATCAACTGATCCACTGCTAAATGGCTGTCACCACGAGACTTCTGCGACGATTGTGCTCGTCGTAACACCTTGATAAGGGAAGTGCTAGGTGGGATTTCGTCAGGAGTCGGTGTCTGAGAAGGTAGCTTCTTCATCGCTTGATTCAATACCCGCTCCACGGAATTAGCTACTTCTTCATTCCCACCAGCATTGACGATTGCTTGTCGAAAAATACCATTGTGATCAGATATTAAGGCCACAGCCATATGCAGAGGCGTAAATTGAGCATGCCCTGCGGATAGTGCTAGCTCGTGTGCCCCAGCAAGGGCCTCGTTAGTCTTGTGGGTGAATTTTTCAGGATTCATAATGAGTCACCTATAGACAATCTGCAACAAAAGCACACACATTCCAAATAATAGGTTAAGTAATACTCCTATTTTCCACATTAAGTGCACTGTACACCATAAGATCAATAAAGATGGAAAACTAGCAAGAATAGCAAATTTACAGTTCTAGATGTAACTATTGCAAATCCGCACGAGAATAATAATTGAGTTAATCAACAATCGATCCCCTCGATATATATATCCAATAAAAAGAGTCTAAAAGACATGGCGAAAAAAAAGGATCACTAATTAATTGAACTTTCTGTAACTTATCAAACAAGTAATGCAAAATTACCCAAAAAGGGCAGAACGTATTCAATTAAATCATACATCCGACAACAACTAGTTTGTGATTTAAGCGTGGTTAATACATGACTGATTGAATTATCAACTGGAACACGCATTAAGAAGTGAATTCAATCAAACACATGCTATCCAAAACAATGCCCGCAGCGGCAATGCCGGCGAATCAACAAATATTACAGCACGAGAAAGAAAATGCAGAATATGGAAATGAAACAGAGATAACCAATGATCAAATGCCAGACATGCAAGTGAAGCAAGCATACCTTACGGCAATAAGCGAATAGTAAACCAGAAAATTTGCAATTCCTTCAATGTGATTTGGCGAATTTCGAGTGCTTGGTGTCAATTTGTGTACAATTTCAGAGAGATTTCACAAAGTTCTTTGAGTACGAAGAAGAGTGGAGAAGGGGAGAGGTCCTTATGCTAAGCAAAAGCGAAGAGTCTGGAAAGTTTGATGATGAGCCCAGAAACTACCAGATTGTTCTACTCTGGAACCGGGACGTGGAAATGGAGTAAAATGTGGGCTAGTTTTATTGTCTCTGGTTTTTACTGGATTGACCGAGATATGTCAGTTCACCACCCTCATTTTAGCATATTTCACTATCAGTCCCGTTCTGTAATAAGATAGTTTTCTTTTCATTTTAATATTTCTTTTAGTCATTGCTCTCATATTCACGATAAATGGTACTCTATATTTGGAGTTAGGTTTAACATAGTCCGTTAAATATATCGTTAAGCAATTTTAGTCCTTTAATTTTATAAATATTTGGTGATATTCTAGTTGTTAGATTTAAAGAAAATTATGAAAAATAATTAACGGTAACTAACATTTAGAGGTGCATTCTTTGATTTCTATTATTTTTGTTTTAGTATTTTACACAAATTTTTTGAGAAGCAATTTCTGTTATGTTTATTTGTTTTTGTGTCTTGGTCATTTTATGATTGATAGGTTCTTCCTAGTGTTTCTAGTTAAATCTTCTTTTTTCTACAACTCAATTAAATTTAAGAAAGGCGAGAACCTCAAGGATTAATTATCTTTCTCTCTAACATCTCACTGCCCAACTCCTCACCATGGAACCCCCACCGATCAAGCCACCACTTCCACCGGAACCATCGGATAAACACATCCAAATGGAGGTAGAACCACCTCAACACTCCTATAAGGAAATGCTCCTGGACAAACAAGTGAGCAACCAAACCAACTACTACGACATGGACAACAAGTCAATTCCACAGATGGATAAAGGTAAGCACATTGAAGGCTCAATTCCCCTCTCACAAGAGGAAAAAGAACGCCTTTATATGCCATGGAGATACTCGGTAATTATCAAAATATTCAAAAGAAAGATGCCTCACCACATGCTTCGCTCTAAGCTAATTGACCAATGGAAGCCATCTGAACAGTTAATCTTGATTGACCTAGGGTGGGACTTCTACATAGTAAAATTTAGCTTAGAGGAAAACATGGTGAAGGCACTGCACCTAGGGCCTTCGTTTATCTCTGGAAACTTCCTATCAGTACGAAAATGGAAACCAAAATTTATCCCCCAAGAAGCCACCCTCACCTCTACCGCCATTTGGATACGGTTACCCCAACTGCCAACAGAGTTCTATGACAAGGTTATATTAGAAAAAGTTGGGAGGAAATTAGGCAAACTCCTCAAGATAGGTCAATGCACATCCTCTACCCTAAGGGGGAGATATGCACGCATCTGTATCCAAGTACCTCTAGAAACTCCAATGGAAACAACAGTAATCATAGGAGATCATAAGCAGGCAGTGGTTTATGAAGGCGAAGGAACCCTTTGCACCAGTTGCGGCAGGATAGGGCACACTGCTCCTTAGTGCAACTATAAGCCACACACATCCACAGCATCCAATGGACCACAGGAAGTTCATCAAAAGGAACCAGCCCCAGAGGAAAGTGAATGGAAGACTTCACCTTCCCACGAAGACGCAAGCAGGGACAGCCAAAAACAATTGTCAACAATGAAGGTAAAGTGCATAAACCACAGCATAGTCCATAGGCAGAAGAGGTACAGGTAAACATGTTTGACGCCATTTCAGGTAAATTCCTACAAACCCAAACTTTTAATTACAATTCAAAAAACTCATTAAGCAGTACACAAAAAAAACAAAAGAAGGCCACTTGGCCCAATAAAACTCCCCACCGGTGCTCAACATACGCCAAAACACGGGCAAAATCCAAGCCCAAGAGAACAGCCCAATACGGGAGCCAAACGAAAAGCGGGGCCAACAACAGATCACCCCACCGGGTCAAATCACCAGCCCAATTCTCAAGAGGACACCAGCCCAAACCCCAATGCCCCAATCATCACGCTGGGCGCAATGCCCAATGGGGCCGGTCCCCTACACCCAAACGGGTACTCCACCATGGGAACCACTGACAACCCACCTCCCCACCCAAACACCAAAAACCTATGATTTCCCTACCAAATCTACTGCAACATCCTCTAATAGAGAAATCCAAAGAGACACAAATGATAATCGAGTGCCCTATCTACAACCCCTTCCTTCTCCGGTCGAAAAGACCACAACCGTCACCTCCATTACATCCCCAATTAATGAGCACCCAACCCCCCTAGCCCCAATGCTCAGAAACCTTTCCACTATCCAAGATGTGACACCAGAAGGGCTAATGATGGGAGAACATCCCTTAAACTTCACTCCCATCGTTACCCAAAGTAGTAAACCGAAAAAGCACAAAAATGGCAAAAGATTTGCTACCGACCACCATCTCCACCCTTCCACTACCACCGGACCACCAACCGGCCTCCTGGTTCGAGGTTGTCTTGCAAGGGCGAGGCCTTTCCTACGATTTCACCCTGGACAATCGGAGAGTGACACTGATAATGCAAAATTCGGCACACCTAGCCAGGGTGACGGTGGAAGCCCTGAATAAGGCCTTGGTGGCGTTTGGACCTCTCCTATGGCAGTCGATAGCCAACAGCGACAGCCCATCACCAATAACAGACCCCCAAACACTCAACAACCACATCCTTCAGAGCTTTCAATCCCTCCCCTTCTTCCCAGATCTGATGAAAGAGGACCCAGCGGCGGAGCCAGTCTTCATTCCGATCGACATACCAACCAAACCCTCATCTTCCCCTCCAAAGAGAACGAACAACTCACCACCCCTCCAGAATATCCAAAAAGGAATCTCCAAAGCACTGGAGATACTCAAGCAGAAGGATGCCCCAGAGGAGCCGGAAAGACTTACCCAGCACCAAGGACGGACTTGATACTACTCGACTCGGTAAGATCGATCGAATTCAGAACGGAAGCAAGCAAGATAATTGTAGTCCTGTGCCCCAAATCCATGTCCAAGTGTGGAATGAGCCTAGTCTCAGCACAAATACACGGACCATTGAAACCACTGCTGAACCTAACCCCAATCCTGAGCTTGAAAAGGAAGTCTCCACCCCCCCCCCCCCCCCAAATACAAGGTCTGCCAGGACCAACGAACCCTCGAGAGGGATCTCACCAATCACCCACATCTCCAATGATGAACTACGTCATATGGAATGTTAGGGGTGGAAACAATGCCGAGTTCAAACGGCACTAGTTAGAGATGGTGAGAATGCACAAACCAGCAATGTTAGTCTTGCTTAAAACAAAGATGGCAGATCACCAGACCTTGGCCCAGCAGCTTGAATTTGACATGATCATTCAGTCTCCAGCGGTAGGCACATCTGGGGGAATCGTGTTTATGTGGAAGGAGGATCTCGTAGCTGTGGAAGAAGTAGCTACTACCCCCCAAGGTATCCACGCAATGGTGAAGGTAAGCCCAAATAACCCTCAATGGCTTTTTTCAGCTATCTATGCTAGTAACCTCTTAATGGAAAGAAAGCTCCAATGGGAATAGTTAATCACTATCTCTAATAGCACAAGAACAAACTGGTTCATAGGAGGAGACTTCAATGAAGTCTTGAAGGCCAGGGACAAGTTTGGGGGCAACCCTATAAACCTGAGCCGCAACAACCTATTTTGGAATTGCATAAACAAGTTTCACCTAATAGACCTAGGGTATAAAGGAAGCAAATACACTTGGACTAACAAAAGGTATTCCAACAGAACTTCCCTAATCCTAGAAAGAATTGATGGGTGGTTTGCCAATGAAGGTTGGATAGAACAGTACCCTGAGGCAACTGTTCGGCACCTAGCTAGGACCCACTCTGACCACTGTCCTTTAAAAATTCAACTGGTAGGGCCCCCAAACAACAAACCCTCAAGGCCCTTCAGATTTGAAACAATGTGGGCTAGCCACCCTTCCTTCCCCAGCATTATCAATAGAACATTCTCTGATCAATCCACCCTCCTCCAATCCACTGAAAGTTTCAAAACTCTGGCAAGCAAATGGAATCAGGAAGTCTTTAGAAACATTTTCCATCAAAAAAACAGACTCATGGCTAGAATCTGTGGTATCCAAAAGTCCCCTAGCTACCAATTCAGTAGCTTCCTTCAAAAGCTTGAAACAGACCTTAATGATGAGCTAAGCTTCATCCTCAAGAATGAGGAAGACTTTTAGAAGCTGAAGTCTAGGATCAACTGGCTAAATGAGGGTGATGCCAGCACCATATTTTTCCACACTTCTACCCTTAATAGAAGAAGGAGAAACAGAATTCTATCCCTCAAAGAAGAAAATGGCAACTGGCTCCATGACCAAAAAGAAATCCAGTCATCCATTGTTGGCTTCTTTACTGATCTTTACACAACCTCTCACTCTGAAGTCCCTTGGGCAACCACTCACCACTCCACCATGGAACCCATTCTGTCCCAAAGTCACAGGACTTTCATGGACAGACCCCTTCAAATGAGTGAGATCAAAAGGGCTGTCTTCTCCAGCAAACCCTTCAAATCCCCAGGGCCTGATGGCCTCCACCCTTTCTTCTACCAAAAATACTGGGATATTGTTGGGGACTCTGTCTCAGAATTTTGCCAAAAGTGCTTCATCACAAGCCCCATGGATAAAACCATGAATCAAACCCTTCTGTGCCTAATTCCTAAATGCCCACAAGCCTCAATGTTGAAAAACTTCAGACCCATCGGCCTTTGTAACACCATCTACAAAGCAGTCACTAAAATCATTGTAAACAGGATAAAACCTATCCTTCCTCACATCATAGGACCAAGCCAAGCAAGCTTCCTAACTAACAAAAGGGCCTGTGACAATGAAATCATTGTCCAAGAATACATCAACCATTTCAGAAAAATGAAGGGCAAGAGTGGCAATATGATTCTAAAAATAGACCTAGAAAATGCCTTTGACAGGCTGGAATGGTCTTTTATTAGAGACACCCTAGATGCCTTTAATTCCCCCAAGGGCCTATCCAGGCTCATCATGTCTTGCATAAGTACTTCCTCCGTCTCCATCATAGTCAATGGGGAAAAACTGAACCCTTCAACCCCTCAAGAGGCATAAGACAGGGAGACCCTATGTCCCCCTATCTATTCATTCTGTGTATGGAAAGACTTTCTAGATCCATCGACAAGGCAGTTCTGCAAAATCAATGGCACCCCATAAGCATAAGCAGGTCTGGACCAAAAATTTCACACCTATTCTTTGCAGACGACCTCACTCTCTTTGCCAAAGGTAACATCAGGAACTGCAATACCATCCTCTCCATACTACACAACTTCAATAGTCAGTCAGGACAAAAAATAAACCTAACCAAATCTAGAGTCATGTTTTCCTCAAACACCACCCAAGATACCTCCCAACAACTCACCAACCTACTGTCCATCAAACACACAACCTCCTTTGGAAAATATCTTGGTTTTCCCATTTTCCACAAAAAACAATCAGCCTCAGACTTCCAATTCATTATTGGCAATATGCAAACCAAGCTGGCTGGCTGGAAAACAAAATTCCTTAACATGGCTGGGAGAACAGTCCTGGCCAAGACCACCCTGAGCAGCATCCCAAGCCATGCAATGCAATACATCACCCTTCCTACCAAAGTAACCAATCAAATTGATAGAATCCAAAGAAACTTTCTGTGGGGCACCACCCCTGAAAGGTAAAAGCTCCATTTGATTAAGTGGGATGTAGTCACTGGGACCAAGTCTAAGGGAGGGCTAGGGCTGCAAAAAGCTAGCTTCAAAAACAAAGTTGCTCTCTCAGATCTGGCATGGAGAGCTTACAAGAAAACCAACAGTCTTTGGGCTAGAGTCCTAATTCACAAACACTGCAACATGTCCAGACCTCCCCATGTTTTGAGGCATCCAAGGAACCCTAAATCCCCAATCTGGAAGGGATTACTAAAGGGCTGGAAAATCTGTAGCAAAGCCAGTAGATGGATTGTTAATAGAGAGAATATGGTCAATTTTTTAAATGACGTTTGGATTCCCAACCAGCCAGCTATCAGGCATATGATAGAAGGCCCCCTAACCCAAAATGACCTCAAAGTCAGGGTTGAAACAATTCACAATATGGGCATTTGGGACACCTCAACACTGTCCATCACCATTCCCCCACATATCCAAAACCTTCTCAAGTCTGTGTTGATTCCCAATTCCACCACCAAAGAGGACAATCTAATATGGGACCTGACAGCCAGTGGGCAGTTCTCCAACAGCTCTGCCTATTCCTTCATAAGCAGGAACACATCAGACTACCCTCCTGGGGAAGAAGCACCCTTCAAATGGATTTGGAAGCTTCAAACCCCCAACAAAATCAAGCATTTCCTAACCCATAGAAGACTCCCAGCCAGGAGCTTTCTACACTCTATTGGAATAAACTGCCCCCTCATTGCCACTACTGTGGCTTTGATCAGGAGGACATCGACCACATTTTCTTTCTTTGTCCCAATGCTGCCCATTAT